AGAAAGTTTTCTCGCATCTTAATGCTCCCTCAGTCTGCTGCCTCGGCGTGGCGAAGGGGTGCCCCTGGGTGACCCAAGAAGGTCCGAACTCACGATTCAACCCAGCTAAAGCAGACCACTCCAACGTCATCATGTCAGGATCCGTTGCCACATTTCTGATAGCGCCAGTCAAGTCGCAAAGAGACAAGAACCGTCAGTGTCACCCAAGCAGCGGAGACTGCTTTGACACAGCCCCAGAACGCCCCAGCCAGGCTATCTAGGGTATGGCGGAACATTTTATAGCTTTGACAGCTTTAAACCAATCGCCCCAGTACCCTGCACACCGTGTTCGTCTGCCGTTTGAGACGTCGGATGGCAGTGCGACCGGTAAAGGGCGAAGAAATCTCAGGTATAAAAGTGAGACGTCCATCTCAGGTATAAAAGCGAAACGTCCATAGATCCTTTCGGCATTAAAGCGGATACGACAAGGCATGCAGGCTGTTCCGACTTTGCACTTACAACGCAAGGACGTTAATCAGCCCACGAGCATATGCTCTCGTAGACGCCGCGACAGCATCAAATATGATGTAACTGCGCTACAAGAAACCAAGAACAGAAACTCGGTCACACACAAGAGGAAGGATGGAACCTTTGTCATACTAGGAAAGAAGGTTTTAAATCGAAACGTCTGCGGTATTGGTTTGTCGTACACCCATCAACTAGCCACCTTTTCGACTCATGTGAGATTCTGTTACCATGACTAGCAGTCTTTCGGCTTGTCGCTCCGCGTCAGGGGAAGATAAGTCGTCAGTGGAAGGTAAGTGTCATCAACTACTACTCACCCACGGAGGCAGCTGATGAAATCAAGCTGGACAACTTTCACGAGGAGGTCGAGAACGCCATATACAAGGAGAAGTCGTTTTATAAGTTTGTCGTCCGCGATCAACACAAGGAAAGCCCAAGAAAATGGCAGAATCAGGAAATTTGGTTTGGGAAGTCGAAGTGAGAATGGAAGAAGACTCGTCGGACTCATTGCAGCGGCTCTATTATTTCATACTCCTTTTCCCAAAAGAAAGAACATCGCCGTTGGACATGGGAGTCACCAAATGGCACGGCACATGCGTAAATCGATCACATACTTGTTGAGAGGAGATGGTGCTTGGTCGATGTCGGAGTGATCCGGTCTTTCTGCACAGGTTCAGACCACCATTTGTTCAGAGCAAAAAATTCGTTTCAATCAAGAATTGGAGAGAAAATCTTTCCATCACGCGAAGCTCAGGAGAAAGGCCATGCACGACGAACGCATTCTCGAGAACGCCATTACCAGATATGACTGGAAGGAACGCGAAGATCCAACAGAAAATGTGAGAGAGCTGGTCGAAAGACTACGCAGCTGTGCTGAGCAGGCAGCTCTTACCGTGAAGAAGGAAGTAGACGTTTGACGAACAACACCAAGGAACTTCACGAAAAGGAGAAGTCTGCCTGCAGATCCAAGCACGCCGCACCTGGAGCAAGTGCTGATCGACAACATTTGCAGGAAAACTGCAAGCTGATCTGAAACAGCACCGACAGACGATACTTGCGGCAACACAGAATAGGAGAAGTTTAGAAAGACGTTGAAGAATACAAGCTCTACTAACTAAAGACGGAAGAATGGTAAACTCCCGGCGCGAAATGGAA